CCCGGGAAGAGCATGATGATGGTGCCAACTTGGGCCAGTGAAGCAACGTCCTCCACAACTAGACTGAAGAACAAAACCACAGCAACTTGTCTGTTCCCCTTCCCCAACTCCCCAGCACTGTTCCCATCCCCCAATTCCCCAATAAAAATCTTTAAAAAAAAAAGACTACATCAGCCACATATTTGGCACTTACTAGATATTTGTTGAATTTATGAATAGAGAAAGAATCTGGGGGATTAGGGAACTTGCCCACATCTGCACTGGTAGTGAGGAGCAGCGAGGCCTACCCGTGCTCTCTCTGACTCGGAAGCCCTGTCCAGTACACCTGAAACCTTCCTTGCACACCCCAGGGGCTGTTAGGGAAGCAGCAGGCATAAGATTGGAAAGGATGTGAGTCTAATGGCTTTCTGTCCTCTTCTCTAACCAGAAGAGGTGCTCACATTAGACGCACTGGGCCCAGACAACATGGCTTCCTAACGGGACAGAGAAGCAGCGGGAGCCCACTTTCTGAGGATTTGCCTTGCCTTCTCCAGTCTTCCCCTTGAGCACCCCAGCAGCCAAAAAGCATTAGATCCACCCGATGGCCTAATGCAATAGGCTAGGCACAACCTGATGGGCTCTGCGATTGGAACCCAATCACTAACCTCAGGGAGATGGCTTCTGCAAATCCCCTCTGATTCGGGCAGAAAGGACTGTATGGGTCCAAGCCCAGCACTCTGCTGCCTGGAGAATGGACAGAGGGTGGAAGGGCTCCCATAGCACGAGGAGGAGTCTGGGCAGGGAGCAAAGGAGGGTTACAGCGCAGGGTTAGAGAAATATAGGAAGAGCAGCCAAGGATGGGTGACATCCTGTTGGAACCACCCTACCTGCACCCCTCTCTTTGTTGAATGAAATATGCCTTTGAGTAGGTGGGCCATTAGCTATAGATGGGCTGTCTTTCCTGTTATACCCTATGTTGAGATCTCTGTAGTTTTTAACTAAGTGGATTAATTCAAATAACAGACTTAGAACAGTAACTGACACACTGTGAGGCCTACATTTCTGTAGCTATTACCATAATGAGATTTAATTGCTATATTTTCTCCACAGTAGCCAAAAGCTCAACAAGTGTCCTGCCAGGTAAGAAATGCAAAGATTGAATCTGCACGTGCTTTAAAAGCTGACTTTAAAAGATATTTATCAGCCCAGCCTGTTCTAAGAAATTAGTAAAACTAGGCTGTAAGAATCTAGACATTTCTTTTCATATCTCTATTGAGATGTTGAAATGGTTATTCTGCATGATATATGTACAGTTAGGTCATTTTTATTATAGGGATGTTATGTTATTTAAAATAACTATATATGAAACCAAAAAAACTTTTTGAAAGAAGGCAGTGTAAATCCCATATCTGACTATTGTTATAATGATAACATTGTTGTTGTGAAGAATTGTGGCAGACCTCAGGAGAAAAGTTACAAACATCTAATAAATGGTGAGAGATGTGGAATAAAAAGAAATTTTAGGGCAAGTGTAATTTAATGTTACAGGAATGCAGGAGCTGCTGCCAACTAGAACTTGCAGCTGAAACCAATGAAGGTAAGCAACTGAGGAACTATCTAGCAAACCAGGCCCATTAAAAGAAGAGCAAAAGCCTGTGGGTCGGACCCGAGCACCACGAAGCTTATGCAATGAGAAAGGGGTGAAAAAGAAGACTCTCAGTTACAGCAGTAAATATTGTACAAAGCTCAAATGCCCATTCACTCCAGTGTAAGAAACAGATTCTTTTCAAGCCTTTCAAATGGGTGTCACCCCAACAGCCAGAGCCTCTGCAAGTCACTGAAATAAGTACTTTAATGCAAAGATACTACTGCAGGATATACATTTGACAGGCATTTTATGATGTTTTGTTTCCTCCTAGAGCGATGCCTTGAGGGTTAGTGACGAGGGTGTCCATGCCATGCCATGCTGTGAATAAGCAGAGCACTCTGTGGCTGGGAGTTGTGTGGAGCTCTTCAAAGGAATGTGTTTCTAAAGAATGTTTAAGCAAGCTTAAGCAACCCGATACGGAGATACGGACAGCGTGGAGTGCTGTACTTGCCAAGCAGGCATTTCCCTTTGAAAACAAATGTAGATCGAGCTCCACTGACAAGAGCTTAGGCTGTGGTAAGAAGAAGACAGACTTTTTGCTGAAAAAAGTATGTATGTTTTTATAAGCATGTGTTCCTTAAAGGGCAAAACACTAAAAGTAATGCTTAGAAATAAGCCTGATGCTTCCATAAGAGAAAACGATTAGACAAGCCTAAGTCTTGATTTTGTACGTAGGATTTATGTACCATGTATAGAGAAGTCAACCTTGATAAGAAACATTCCGATGACGATGTGTTCTGCAATTATAATGAGGGGTGGTGGGGAGCTACTCCTAAGAACCAGCCTCAACTGCAAGCCCCATCTCGATTCACATTCTCACCCAAGTATCTTCAGATACAGTAAAAGCTCTTTTTTTGGGCTGGAAAAAATTATGACTAAGCTGGTTATAGTCCCCTTCTGGCTTTGCTAAGTGCATCTCTTATTATATTTATGACTTACTCATCCCAGTGCCTTGGCCTGAAATAAATTCAGTTGGACCTAATACATCAAAATACAACAAGAATCAACAGAAACGTAAACTATGACTCGCAGTCCTGTGACATGACCCTGTCTGTTATTAATGCCGAAAGCCACTAAAAGCATCACTGCTCTAAGGAGGACAGTAATTAACTTTGGTGTAGCCATTTTCCATTGCCAAAGTGTCTTCCCATCCCTCATCCCTTCAGTCTGCACTTGGGACCTGGGACATGGTTGTGATGCTATTATCCCAATCACCGGTGAGAATGCTAAAAAATTCAGTGGTTTACTGAAGACACGCCTGGTGATAAAGCCAGGACTTTTTCATACAGTTACTATTCATTTCCAATACATGTTTTTTCTTATAAAAAAAAACATTCCATGATATTGTTAACAGTAGGACTGCCTGGTGAAAATTTTGTAACTTGATATATTTTTCTAACCATGGTAAATGCCATTTCTACTTTTTGGTGCCAGGAACTTCAGGGTAGCACCCTTATCTTGGATACTGCAGGGCAAGCAACCTCTGGTCTCTTTCCTAGAATCCCACCTCTAGCTAAGGGGAAAGAAGAAAAAGAGAATGTTACCTGACTGTCTCCTGGGAGGCAGGGCCAGGAGCACTAGAGCTCAGCCCCTCAAGGGACTAGAAGCTGTCTAGGTGACAGGGGCCTCTGCTTCTTGTCTCTGGAAGCATCAAGATCATCAATGGGAGCAAGACTAAGAGCCACTAGAGGCAGAAAAGGTGACTGACATCCTCTCTCCCTATCACAACCAACAATGTGACCCCAAACCCAGGCCTCATAAAGCTGGAAGGTGGTGGAATCTGGGAGACAGTGAACAGAGGCCTCAGGCTTGTCAGAGTGTGGTTTTGCAGAGGCTGCAGGGGTTTTGATGGGCACTTCATGCTTTCCCTCCTTACTTTCCAGTTTGCAGAGCATTTGCCTTCCACTTGGAATGCAGCCTTGATGCTGGAGGCTTGAAGACTCAAGAGGGCACTGTCACGGAGATGAAAAGGAAGCCATGAAAAGGAAGCCGGGCTAAACTGAGAGGCAGGAGAAGGGAGCCTGGAGGTTTCCTCTAGGGTGTCCAAAGCAGTGCAGCGGGGCCTCAGGGGCCCTGGGTGGCTAGCTCCCTGTCTCATACTAAATCAGGGACATGGACTACATTAGTGTTTGTCACTGCACTGCTGGCATTTTCAATAGGAACATTTGTGCTGCCGTGTGTGAGACTGCTCCGACAATATAGGCTGTTGGCTACCCTGGCCTTCTCTACCTACAAAATACCAGTAGCACCCCCCAGCCCAGACACGGTGTCCTCCACCCCCTGGTTGAGAACCACCAGACGAGATAATCGGACGAGATAATTTCTAGGACTTTCTATGCTTAAAATTTCCCAAGTCCATGATTAGACCAGAATGATATTGGTGTGAAACTGCTCTGAAGTGTCAAAAAAGCTACAAACATATGAGTAGAAACAAAGAAGAGTGCATTCAATTGCAAATAACAAAACAAAACAAAAAAACACAGACTAACCAGACTTCACTAGACAGGGGTTAATTTTTCCCCCATATGAAAAAACCCTGAGGAAGTCAGTCTAGGAGGTGGGCCTCCCCAGGGATGCAGACTCTTTTATCTTTGTACTTTGTCATCCTTTGAGTGATGGCTTTTATCTTCATGTGAGCTCATGATTTCAAAATAGCTGCTCGACCTCCAGGTGTCACATGCAGATTCCAGGCAGGCAAGTAAAAGGAGCCATCCCACCTTTCTTATTCAGGAAGGGAAGCCCTTCCCAGCAGACTTCCAGTTTATCTCGTTGGCCAAAGTGCATCACATGGCCACCCCTGGCTGAGAGGTGGCTAGGAAAATGGAACATTCAGATTTCTAGTCTCTACAGTAGAGGAAAGCAAGGGAGAAGGCAGCTGGGGCTGCGTCGTGAAAGCACCTCCCTCAAGTGTCTGCCAGGACTCTCTATCCATTGTGTCCACTTTCTACAAAGAAGTTGATTTGTATTTTATATTCAGTAATTCTGAAATCATGAATGAATGATCTGTGCAGGAGCAAAGCCATCCATGCAGGAGTTTGTTCCTCCTGGCTTATTCTAACTCAAATAAGAATCCATCTAATCTGCAGCCCGCTGGCCTCCCAACTCAA